AAATTCATTTTGAAGGCGTCTTTGTCGCTCATGTATCGCTCATGTATAAGAGAAGTTTCGATATATTATTGGCATACAGAGTACTAGCTTGAGTAGGAAGCCTAAAAAAATATTCCAGTGTTCGAAAAATTGATTGAAAAAAAACAGTCAAAGGAGATGAAACCGTAGGAGGAACACCGCATATAAAACCTACTCGACGCCCATAAAATACCGGTCAGAAATGAGGATTGACTGAAACCTTCTAGTCAATCGACAGGCAGTGGCAGTGCGGTGGCTCAGGGACCCTTAGGCTGGACTCCTAATTCCGCCGGGGTAACACCAGAGCTGGCTAGTTGGTACTAGAGTCAGCTAAAGGGCAGTAAAACAAAACCAAGTCATCATAGCATTGCTGAGTTATGGGCAAAAGCCTTGACCCCACGCGGGACTGGATTGCCTTGCCCTAGGGAGGGCGCTTTTCATGACACAGAAACTAAGTGTCATTGCCGTGCAAGTTAGACTGATATCCATTCAAATCCCTTTGGTGAAAAAAGGCTCAGACGCGAGATAAATTACTAAACGAGTAGGATTAACGCGCTGCGCAGCGCCTTGCCCAAGAAAGGTAGGGCCTATCAAATTACAGCATAACGACCCCGCCACCCACCGTGCCCGCCCGCCCACAACTGGACGACAGTACCTGATGCTCGCATTCCTTCGTTTGAGAAATAAGGGAAGGGAAGGAACTTCCCTTTAAAGGGGAGGAATTGATATACAAGGGAGGCGCTGCTGCATGGAAATATGAATAAATACGTGCAGCCGTACATACAGTAGCGGTTATTGGCAAGATGCCTACAGGAAACTCGTCCGAAATCATTTTTTGAGTCAGGAGAATCGAAGGCTTTTTTCGCAGGATTTTGACCGTTTCACTTCGTTTTTTCGCCATTTTCCACTATATAGCGCCCTGCTAGCATTTTAGAGCGAGCACCAGCTTATCGTGCCAACTGCCTTCAAAGTGAACTAGACCTCCCTTCACATCTTCTATGTTCGTGCACCACTTATCTCTATACCTGACCAGCTGAGTGGGCAGAATCCCTCCTTTTGATGATGGGCCACTATACAACTTGTATCCAGGGACTGGCTGTTTGAGCTGAATAGAAATGATCCGCTCTTGAGATGCGAAGCCTTCCACTGTCCTCGATTTTGAAGTTGTCACAGGCAATGGTCAACCGACGACAATATCAGAGCACTCAGCTGTTTGCACACTCTGGAGCACCGAAACTGTTTACCTCTGTACACGATGCTGTCCTGCAGGCGTTCTATTGATTACTGGAGCTGAACCTGTCCCCAACGTAAACATTGTCGATTTAGAAGAGGGCTCTTTTTCTGGGGTATAGGATATCGTACCCATAGGATCGACCAGGGAAGCTGCCGTTGAGGAAAGCTTTTGCAACATAAGATTCACCTCTCCCTCAAAGTTTCCTTCTGGAATCCCTATACGCCATCTCCAACCACCTTTCTACGTTTCACCGATTTACCACTTCTCCGGAGTCTCTTACAAAAACTGAACAGTTCCCTTCCGTTGTCGAGATTGAAGGTTGAGGTGAGAGAAGATCGAAAGGGGGAGCGAATTTGCGCACGTGAAACAGGAACAAACCGGAAAACTAAACAACCGAAGCCATTCTTCAGCGACTAAACACGACCCCCTCCCCCCTCACTCGCTGAGGATCAGCATTTCAGACGTGCCCTTGTTGCACCTCGGTCCGGCTCAAGGCAGAAGGATAAACGGCCACGAGACCTGCCTTGGTTCACAAGAAGTTAGCGAAGCAGCCATACCTTGATGGCAAATCAACATATCCTATGTGTACAACTCCATGTTTTGTGTAGCATTCGCCTGGTCTTGTGGTCTCAATGTTACCACCAGCTTCAGCGGCTAGATCGACTACTACACTGCCAGGTCTCATCGTTTTAATCATCTCCTATAAGCCAAAGATGTACGAGTTGTCGATTATACTGACCAAGACTGTTTAGAAAACAGAAAATATTCAATAATTGCTCCGGATGTCGGCTATTGCCGCTATCCATTCGTCAAAAGTTATAAAAGAAGAAGTGGAGACCTCGGTGATCAGACGTGGTGCAGGCTTTCCTGGGATAAGTGCCGTTGAAATAATTATATCAACTTCTTTGCACTGTTTAGCGAATAAGTCCATTTCCGCCTGAACCCAAGGAACTTTGAAAAACAGCGGAAGAAACCATTCAAAAATTTCAAAAACACAAACAAAAATACAAAGTTCTCACAAATTTTCAAGGGGCACACAAACCTGCAGAAATTCTTTGCTCATTTCCTTTGCGTAACCGCCAGTTCCTTCGCCTTCCTCTTTGATATGGACTGTAAGAAATTCTCCTCCTAATGACTGAATTTGCTCTCGTACTGCTTCACGAGTGTCGAAACCACGAACAATGGCACCCTAAAGCGGACAGATGGGATGCATAGCTTGAACTCATTTTACCTCGTTTTTCACCTGTACACTTTTACCAAATGCTCCTCAAATATTGAAAAAAATAAGATGAATCAATTGAGCATGAAAATTTCCTGTTGAAATTGTCAACCCGTTTCCCATTAACTGTGGTCGCCTGCTAGCTTCCAAGTTGGCGAACGGATGGCGCGCTTAACCCCGCCCCTCCCCTTGACACGCCCCCAGCATCCGCAACAAACAGACCGTAGAAATGACAGTTTCGTCCAAAGCGTAGGGCAAATGACTTGGTACTATTCTAGGAAGCAAC